TGATTGATCATATGTTGAGGACTATCTAACACATTAACAGAGTTGGAAGGGACCTTGTAGGTCATCTAGTCCAACCCCCCACCACCACCAAAAAAAAGCAGGAGACCCTACACCATTTCTGACAGATGGCAGTCCAGTCTCTTCTTAAAAGCTTCCAGGGATGAACCTCCCACAATTTCCGAAAGCAGCTTCCGTTCCATGGGTTGATTGTTCTCCGTGTCAGAAAATTTCTCCTTATTTCCGGGTTGAATCTTTCCTTGTTCAGTTTCCATCCATTATTTCTTGTCTGGCCTACAGGTGCTTTTGAAAATAGCTGGACCCCCTTCTTCTCTGGCAGCTCCTTAAATATTGGAACCCTGCTATCATGTCTCCCCTGGTTCTTCACTAGACTAGCCATGCCCAGTTCCTGCAACCGTTCATCAGATGTTTTAGCCTCCAGTCCCCTAACTGTCCTGCTTGCTCTCTGCACTCTTTCCAGAGTCTCAACATCTTTTTTTATAGTGTGGTGACCAAAACTGGATGCAGTACTCTAGGTGGAGCCTTACTAAGGCTTTATAGAGTGGTATTAGTACCTCACTTGATCTTGATTATATCCCATCTGTACTACTACGTGCCTGGAACCAACAATAAGAGGCTGTTGGTGGTAGGAGACCTTGTCTGTCCTCTCCTGATGCCAGGACTCTGGAGACACCAGCCGCTTCCAGAGAAGATGAGTGTCTCTTTCCAAAATGGTCATTTCGCCTAATGCCAGATCCTCCCCGCTCTCCCCACAATAATGGTTGTGTTAGATTGTGAACCACCTTAGGCAGGCGGCACCTGATGTGCTTTAAGTGGTTGCTCAACGGCCGGAATGAGTTTTTAAATCTTTTAAAAGATGCAGTCACATTGCCAGTGATGCAGTTTGCTGCTAAATTTTAGCTGCAGGCAAAAGAAATGGACCTGGAGCTGTTTGCGACCTCTCTTTTTCTCTCTCTCTTCCACCCCCCCAGGATGCCCAGCACTGTAAAAAAAATGGCTTCTTCTTTAGCCCAAAACCCTGGGCGTTGTCCAAATGCAACTGCCTTAGAGAGATCATTTCATCCGTGCATTGAAATTGACCAAGCCTTTATAAAGAGCTGTTCGTAGAAATAAACACGGCTACTTTGCCTGATAATCAACAAAGCTTTTTGTTGTCATTAAAAGAGTCATTCCTTCCCCCACCCACCCCGCCCTCCCAAGACATGGACTAGAAAACCCACCCATTGGCAGAAAGGATGACAGCAAAAGTTTTGTTTTGAAATCTTTCGTCTGAAATTAAAATTTGCTGAGGCAAGAGGTCAGGTCTTCACATTATCTTCTTGTCAGTGGATTTGAGCACTTCCATTATCTCTCCCCCACACCTGTTTCTTGTTCAGAGATAATTACTCTTTTCTGAAACTCTCAATTCCAGTTTGGCTCGGCAGGGCAGCAAATCTGAATACCTTTTCTGTCCTCAGGTTCCTAATATGCAGGGCGGAGCCATGGGAGGCGGAGCGGTACAATCTGCAGCCCAGCCTGGAGGTTTCAGCCCTGGGCAAAACCAAGTCACACCCCAGGATCATGAAAAGGTAAAGGGGGGGGGGAAGTATATACATACATATATACATACATACATGGTATTCAGCTTTGTTCGGGTATTTTCCCACGTCATTGTAGTTGTGCTTTTAAAATTGTAGCATTTGTTTCTGGGGCTGTTAGCCTTGCCCAGGACAGGAGCAAAGAAAGGGTTTGAATTTGCAAAAAATCCTTTCTCCTCTAACTCTCACTTAGAGTTGATGCCCATTTCAAATCCAGTTCTTAATATGCTTTAGAAATGCCAATTAACCCTCAGTTATTATTTATTTTCTTTTTTTACACTGTCCATTAACGATCCATCAAGTATTAAAGGGGCCTGTTATTTTATAAAGGCTTGGCCTGCAGCAGAAGGAAGTAATTAGCTAGATTTAGCAGTAGCACTTAGACTTATATACCACTTCACAGTGCTTTACAGCCCTCTCTTCTATTTGATCGACCTCGGAAGGATGGAAGGCTAAGCCAACCTTGAACCTGGTCAGGATCAAACCGCTGGCAGTGAGTGAGCCCTGCAGTACTGGATCCATGGCTCTTTATGGGAAAATATCTGCCCAATTCCAAATGAAGATCACAAGTCTACACCAGGAAAGCACAATCCATCAAGGCTTCCCCTGTCTGGTGTGTCATTTTCCCTCTTTTCCGCTTCTCCACAGGCAGCCCTCATTATGCAAGTTCTCCAGCTGACTGCCGACCAGATCGCCATGCTGCCTCCAGAACAAAGGCAGAGCATTCTCATTCTGAAGGAGCAGATACAGAAATCTACTGGCGCCCCATGATCCACATTCCTTGGGTAACGGGTTTAAGCAGGGGAGGAGGAAGAGCAGGAAAATAGCACAGGTTTTTTTCTGTAAAACAGCACAAAATCTTTGGCAAATTCCCTTCGCAAGCAGTCTTCAAGCTTGAGCAAAACAATTCCTGTTCTAGCTCCGGTTTGGTTTTTAACTTCTGTACTCATATTTTAGCTTATGCAAGAGCAATTTTTTTTATAATAAAGGGTGAAATGCAGGGGAATTTTCCTTTAGCCTGCCCTGGGTTAAAATTACCCTCCATATGTCTTGCATCCTATTTTGTTTTCCACCGCTGGTTATGTCAGTGAAGCATCAATGTCACCCGTCTTTGGGGACAACATTCTGGCCACACACTGTTCTCATGCACATTTCAGATTTCTATAAGGTGAAGGTTGAAGGTGCTTTTTCAAGAGGCAACTCAGCTGAAGAAGCTTCTTGAATGAGAAGCGAAATGTCTTCAAAGGAAAACCAGAAAGTCCAGTTACCTCTTGGAAAAAAGCACTATAAATGATTACAAAGTGATGCCGTTCCTTAATAGCTCTTGAAAAGCTATGGACATCCAATGTTAATAAAATGGAAAACTACTATAGAGGCCTGGTGTGTTTTGAACACTTTTTGGAAGGAAAAATTCTGGAAAGTAAATGAAATCTCTATATAATGTGCTGTGTTACATGTGTTACATTGCTTTTTATTAATTATTACACATACTTAATATTCTACCTCATTGCAGATTTAATTTTCATTGCTTGTCTTATCCCATTTTTTTGCTTTCAGGTTGAAATGCCCTTTTTCTGCAGGGAAGAAAACGGGGGTATTATCCCTTTTTTAACACTGTCCATTTTATTTTTACAGGCTTAGAAATCCTTTGAATGAAATTCAGCCCTGGCTGGAAATAACACTGAAGGCAGCTCAAAGACCCTTCCCTGGTCTGATCCAAATCAGAAAGGAGAAGGGAGTTTCTTGTACCCATCCCATATTATTTCCATTCTTGTTTCTCAAATAAAACTATGTTCTATAGTTGAACACATTTGCCTGTGTCTTAAGCCAGACTCTCCATATTTCAATAGTATTTTTGCAAATGTACCCAGTTCTCCTTAAGCAACATACAAAAAATTGGATTCAGGATGCTGAGTTGCTTGAGAAAAAGAACATAATTGGGAAAACCATGATGGAAGAGACTTGCTGAAATCTAGATGTTCAGCAGTTGTTAGTTGTGAAGTCGTGTCCGACCCACTGTGACTCCATGGACAACGTTCCTCCAGGCCTTCCTGTCCTCTACCATCCCCCGGAGTCCGACTGCTTCAATGACTCCATCTAGCCACCTCATTCTCTGCCGTCCCCTTCTTCTTTTGCCCTCCATTGTTCCCAGCATTAGGCTCTTCTCCAGCGAGTCCTTCCTTCTCATGAGGTGGCCAAAGTATTTAGAGTTTCATCTTCAGGATCTGGCCTTCTAAGGAGCAGTCAGGGTGGATCTCCTCTGGGACCGACCAGTTGGATGGCCTTGCAGTCCAAGGGACTCACTCGCAGGAGTCTTCTCCATTCAAAGGCCTCCATTCTTTAGCACTCAGCCTTCCTTATGGTCCAACTTTCACAGCCATACATTGCAACTGGGAAAACCATCACCTTGACTCTGCGCACTTTTCTTGGCAGGGTGATGTCTCTGCTTTTTAGTATGTCGTCTAGATTTGCCATAGCTTTCCTCCCCAGGAGCAAGTGTCTTTTAATTTCTTGGCTGTAGTCCCCATCTTCAGTGATCTTGAGCCCAGGAAAATAAAATCTAGGTGTTCAACATAGCCCAAGACATGGCATGGTTTCAGTTACCCTGAGTTACTGAAGGAATCAGAATTGGCTGTTCATTACAAACCAGCAGCAGTTAAACCACCATTAAGCAAATCAGATTATAGCTCTGCTGATACAGCATTGTAAGACAGGAAGAGAGAATATTACAAAAAAAAACCTTATCCTGATTATGCACCATTCAAAGCCTGCTCAGAATACATTACAACCCTTAACATTAGCATTGGAAAAATTCCTTTTTCACATTGCTGTTTATGCACCTGTCATGTCGCATCCTTGCAATTTCCCACCACAAGAAGAGTCCATTCACAGCACTCCCGAGCAAACCGATTGCTCGAACATTGTCTGCAGCTCTTGCAAAAAAAAAAGGAGGGGGGGCAACATCTGGGAAATGTTGACTAGCTGAATAGAAGATTGAGTTGATTATAGCTCTGAAGATGAGACATCAGCATAGATTTTAGTACACAACGGTCAAAATAAGAGGTGGGCGTTTGCCAGATGAAGCAAGAATCAAACATTTGTGCCATTTACTGCAGCTTTGGGAAGGACAGCATTTCTTAGGCTCAGTTATTTGAACTTTTTTTTTGTCCCCAAATTGCCTATCATCAATACAAAAAGCTTGCACTTTTTGCCAGAAAGCAATAAAAAAAATTGGAAGTTGATCCTGACATGGTTCACTAAAAAAGAGAGACTGGCTTTTATCAATATAGTTAGATGGCAGTGCAATGTGCCATTTTTTAGTGCCAATTGGCATATTTTTTTACATTTTATTTAAACTTTAAAAAAATAAATAGAAAAATATATATCCTGGCAATATGCAAATTTGAAAGGAGTGTCCACTAAGTTGCAGGCTCTGGTCTTACAGTCATTAGTTCAGACAGGCATTTAATAGCTTTCCCCTTCTGATTTGAATCCTGGTGTTTCAGAAGTTCTCTTTGTTGAAATAAAACTGGACGTTTCTGGGATCCAGACTAGAGTGCTGACTGCAATATTTTCTCAGAGTTTTTGCCAGCTGCTCTGGTCCACACAAGAACACACCCACAACAGACCTAGGATAAGGATAAAAATAACCATAAATCAGTTGGAATGAGCGTTCTTGGAAACTGCCTCTAGGCTGGGCTTTGGAAGCAGCATTAAGTAGGATATGCATATCTTGGCAGGTTTGACATAATTATTAAGGGACAGGAACAGAATGGCAGCCGTTCTGGTTAGCTGGAAAGATTAAAGCATTGGCTGATGAACTAAACCAATGTGGGTGGGTTTGGCTTGAGATGATGGGCAAATTGGGTGGTTTAGGTCAATGAAGGATATCCCCCTCCCCTGTTTATTTACAGATTAGCAGCTGTGGCTTGGTGTAATGTGCAGGCATCAACAATGAGTTGGTTTATGGCTTCCCGGCTTGTTGGTAGCCTGCTTTTGTGTCCATCTAACTTACAAGACAGACCAACAAGATAAGACAAAGGAGAGACTAGGAATTGAACAGACCAGCCACAATTTTTCAAGACTGGCTCTAGAAAGCATAGATAATACAATTACCTACAAAAACTACAGATGGCAAGCATTATATACATTCCCTCTTTATCATAAACGAGAGAACACATCTTTAAAATGTTAGCTTATGGGGCAAATGTATCCAGAATAAGGGATGAAAGTAAATGTAAATGTAATCAAAGCTAACTGGATAAACGTTTGATCCATTACAAAAAGGTTTAATATGGAGCTGTCCGTGGTACTGATTCCCTGTCCACAATGTTCCAGAGGAGAGACCATAGCTCAGGGATGGAGCACCTGGGCATTCAATCCCAGCCATCCTAACTGCATTTTCCAGTTTTCAAAATTCAGGTAGCAAATGATGGGGGAGTTTTGTTTTTTCCAGACATCCTGAAAAAATTGTTGCGGTTTGTAGGAACTGCTGCTAGGTTGGATGAGAACAAAAGAGCTTTACTTGGTTGAAAGGCTATCTCTTACCTGGGGTGTGCGGCCGCCACTGCCGAAAATTCATTGTTCCACATGGGTCTCCCAAAAGAGGTTTTTTGCCTCAGGCCTGTCACCATGTCGGTGGACTTCTGAAAATGGAGAGCTGCATGGCCAACCTAGTTTCCCAACAAAGAAAGGGGGCCAAAGTCAAAATTGCACAGCGCTCCCAACAATCTCCTGTTAAAACACATCTTCCAGATCTTGGAATGGGTCAAGGTGTTCTCCACCATTCATGGGAATAACCTAATGATGAACCTCTTTATACAAACACTTAAGCCAAGGAAACCAGCTAAGTGGCAGGTTTTACCCATAAGCTATTTTAATTTGTTTCCTTGCAGTTTGCTAAATAAACAACTAGCTGTTTTTGTTCATAAGCTACAAATCCTGGTTTATAAAAGAAAATGGCTGACTTAATAACCAGCAAAGTCAATAGAGGAAGCTGCATTCAACGTAACAACCATGGCAAATAAGGTTGTAAAATTGGATGTGACTTACTTAACAGCTCAGCCATGGAAATTCTGGTCTCTTGAGGTTGTAAGTCAAGGTTTACCGGTCTTTTATTAATATAACCACTCCTTCCTGAAGGTTATTTCCAAGAACATTTTGGAAGATCCTTCAAAGGTGAACCCAGAGAGCATTGGGAGGATAGGCCTTCTCAGTGTGGTAAAGTCCCATGCATGAAGTCCCTTTCTCAGAAACCTTGGCTTGATTCCTTTTAGAAGTCAAATATGTGCCTTTTCACCTCCAATTTTATCTTTTAAGATAGTTTTATAACACTTTGAGCTATGAAGACCTGTTCTGGTAAAGCAACTGAACAAACTAACTTTGAACAATGCCTTTTGTTCTGGGTTTCCATCTCGGTCAGAAGACTGTGAAATGCAGATGACCTTCTCGAAAGTGCAAAGCGATAAGTCAAGAAGCTCAAGAGTAAGACAGTTTGCCAAGATTAGCTCTCCAACTCACCATGCTTCTGTTCCAGCCAGTGAGGTAAAGATGATAGCTCAGGAAATCGGCTCTACCAGATCCCTCCATCTCTTGCTCCAAGGAGGAAAGGAGGTGTTTAAACCAGGAAAATGATCCCGTTTCTCGGCAAACCCAGTAGAAGTAAATCTTGCCGTCCACAAGAGAAAGAAAAGAAAAGAAGATGGAAATGGCAAAGTGCTTTAAAATGTCAGTTTCCACCCTCTAAGTCAGAATGCCCCGCTGACCTATGTTCTTTCTTTTTCTTGTTTCAATACGAAGTTGAAAGATGTTGAGATCAGAAATGCAACAACTTTTGCGTGACACAAGATGTTTGCCCTGTTTACTGCGTCAATTTTCCTTTTTATGTGGACCATCAAACCCCAAACAAACTCAGTTTTCTCAGCACGTTAAACCTCAAAGAAAATGAATATCCCTCAACTGCCACGTAGAAAGCGCATAACCCAATAGATGTTTAACTGAAACTCATAAGCAGGGTCGTGTGAACCAGTGCTTCTAAATTATAAAAGTTGGACGGAAAGCAATCTTGGCTGAGTAATAGAGAAGGTGTTTGCAGGAAGTCTTTTAGTCTTTGTTTCATTAATGTTAATTGCTTTCCTATTTGTCCCAAAGGTGCTTTTTCAAGAGGCAACTGGACATTCTTGTTTTTCTTTGAAGACGTTTCACTTTTCATCCAAGAAGCTTCTTCAGCTTCTTTAACTCTGAGCTGAGGAAGCCTTCTTGGGTGAGAAATGAAATATCTTCAAAGAAAAACAAGAATGTCCCGTTGCCTCTTGAAAAAGCACCTTTGGGACAACCATGACCTGGATGACTTAGAATCTCCATAGACATTTAGCTATGCTTTTCTATTTATGTTTTTATCATTCTGTAAGCCTTTCAGAGTCACACAAGTGGATAGCATATAAATTGGATAAATAAATCAATCAATATAGATTCCACATTCAATCTCCGGCAAGTAAGGCTGGGAAAATTCCTGATCTTGGAGAATTTACGGTAGTTGACAATTCTGGACTAGAAGAGCCCAATGTCTACCTCTCTTTTCATCTTTCTGGAGAAACATGATATACTGGCTTAAGCCTGCAAGACATTTATAAACTCAAGAACTCTTTTATTGCTGTACCTTAAAGACTACTTGTAAACAGGAAGAAGCCAAGTGAGCTCACCTTTCTGGTTCGAAGCTCCTGGTCACCATGTTGGAGCTTGTACCAGATGGATTTCAGTACTGAAGCAAAAGGAGTCACCCCAATCCCAGCTCCCACCAGCATGGCCACCTCATACTGGAAGACATCCTCACTGGCTGTGCCAAAAGGACCATCCACCATCATCCTGAAAAGATGAGCAAACAGTTGCTTTGCTTTTTCTGCTCTTAATATAGATTACAAAAAGTTGAGTGGTGCAGTGGCCTAGAGGCGGAGCTCTCGCCTCACAATCAGGAGGCTGTGAGTTTGATCCTAGGTAGAGGCAGATATTTCTCTCTCTCTGGGCACACTGTGAATATGTCTGCTGAATATAACTCCGCATTGGCAACAGGAAGGGCATCCGGCCAGTAAACACTCAGCTCCATTCAGTTGCCCAGACTCCACCCCACAAGGGATTATGGGGTCATGAAAAGAAGATAGATTATAAAAAAAAAAGGGCCAGCTGATGCCATTCGTGCCATAAAACATCCAGCAGAGCTTAGTTCCACCACATAGACCAGCCTGGGACTTTTCAGATATATTTTAATGTTTTTGACTAAACAAGGTAGCAATATGAACTGTTGAAAAGATACACTTTCAAGCTTATCCAAAAGGGACCTATGCAAGAAATTAAAGTGAGGCCAGCCACAGCTACTCACGTTGCCCTCTCTGCTCACCTGGGCATCGGTGAGTTTGGCTGCTGCAAGGTGTCAATCAAGGTCTCCGTCCAATCACCCGCCACCCGAATGTGGACCGAGAAGTAGTTTTCCTCTGGGGCGGAGGTGAGAGTGAACGGATGCCACTCTAGATAGGAGATGGCGGGGCAGTTGAGGAACACATACTGTCCGATTTCCATGCTAAAACCTGCCTTGAACATCTGAATTTCCAGTACTCTGGAGGGATGCATGATGACCTGAAGGCAAGATTTCAGAAGTGAGCCAACCCTATGCCTTGTCCCAATGGGGATGCGGTGGATCCCACTCCCCATCTACAGTATCTTCTCCCCCACACTGAGTAGACCTGCAAGGAAGACAGATTGAGCCCTTCCTGACTCTTCTCTGAAGCTGAAACACAAGCCTGGCTGGTCCTTTCTCCTTTGGTTACATAAAAGATGGAGATTGGGCTGGGATAAAGTAATTCTCCCATAGCCGCTCAGTGATATCCCATGGCTGAGTTTAAACTTCGATCTTCCCAGCATCAGTTCAATGCCATCACATTGGATGTAAAGAGTTAAGGACATAGGCAGGATCCATTGCCTAGGCAAAATGTCCATGGAGATTCTCAGTCTTTCAGGTCATGGTTGTCCCAAAGGTGCTTTTTTTTCCCCAAGAGCAACTGGACTTTCTGGCTTTTCTTTGAAGACGTTTCGCTCCTCATCCAAGAAGCTTCTTCAACTCTGACTGGATGGTGGGGAATGGAAGGAGTTATATTCCTTGCAGACAGCTGGTCATTTGCATCCTTTCCGAGGGCCGTTGAGGCCACTTGGAAATGGATATGTGTTCTCAGGGTCACCTGAGTAGTGCAAACGGGTGTGGAGTTTAAAATGACCAGCTGTCTACAAGGAATATAACTCCTCCCAACTCCTCAGAGCTGAAGAAGCTTCTTGGATGAGAAGTGAAATGTCTTCAAAAGAAAAACAAAGGAAGTCCAGTTGCTTCTTTGAAAAACAAGCACCTTTGCCAAGGGAAAAGGGAGTTGAAGCAGTTCTTCACACCAGATCACGCAGGTTGTTTGAAAGTAGCATCAGAACACCTTTATTAGGGCCAGTTAACATTGCACAAATTGTGGGCATATTTTCAAGGCATCCATCACTCTTCATTGGATAAGCAGCGAAGCAGCAAACCACTTTCAGTTGGACGCTGAGCTCAGCTCTAAGTCATGTTTACTGTAATAGGACAGTAATATTGTGCTACTTGATTATGGGTTTTAGATATCTGTCTCTCTCTGTCTCTTTCTCTGTCTGCCTTTCTAACTCTTGCTGTTTCTCCCTCTCCCCACCTCTCTCTGTGTATGTGTGTTTTTCTCTCTCTCTGTTTCTCTCTCTCTCTCTCTCTCTCTCTCTCTCTGCCTGTCTCTTTCTGTTTCTCTCTGTCTGTCTCTCTCTCTCTCTTTCTCTCTCTCTGTGTCTTTCCCCCCCTCCCTTTCCCTCTCTCTTAACTGTTTTAGAATACAAAGCTGGTGAGTAGGTTTGGAGACAGACCCAACACTTACCTTCATAATATCCACCTTCTGGCAGGAGCGCCAAATCCTCAGGGCTCGCTCAAATGCATAGAGAATAATAGGTGCCAGCACCCACTTCCAGGACTTAAAAAAAAAAGAACCAAGTGCAATTAGAAGGACCGTCCTGCAGGAAAGCAGGAATTCTTTCCTGATCTTTCTATCTCCAAAATTCCATACGCTGTAGTTCCTTAAGCTGAATTCAGACATTATGTTAAACCACCGCTTGCTTTTTACCATAATTGCCTGGGTTTGCCCAATATACCGAGCCACAAAGCATGATTTTATAACTCATCAAGATCCCCAATGAAGCTACAGCTATGTTTAGTGCAGGGGTGTCCAACCTTGGCAACTTTAAG